TATCCAGTTTTTTTGCATATTCAATTAATCCTTGCCAAATATTCCAATAAAAATTATCATTATTCACTTTTAAATCAGATTTTAACTTAGAGCTTTTGTTAAACAATTCAAGCATTTTAAAATAATTTGCTTTGTTTAAATTCTTTTCTCAAAATTCAATACCAAAATTAGGATTTCCTGCTACGATGATCAAGCCAAAAGTTTTGCACCATATCCAAAATTCTACAGCTAAATTAAGGCGTCTTCTTACGTTGATAATTACTTGATTTTTAGCAATTTGTTGACCTAAAGGTATAGCGATAGAATGACTACCAGTTTTTTCCAAATTAATCAGTGCAATATCTGTATCCCAGTGAGAATCTTTGAATATCTTGTTTACTTTCTTTTTAAATTTATCATAATCATCTTCAGTTATATCAGTAGGAAAGTCTAGTTCATTTTCGAAAAGTAATTGTGCAAAAATTAGAAGTTTTGGTATCTCAAGATGACCGTTGATTATGTTGCCATAAATTGAATTTGTTAATAGAAGAATCATCTTGTTGATCTTAGTATCACATGTTCTTGATATTTCTTCTACTGTCTTACGTTCATCATAACATTCTAAATTTTTCCAACCTTTCAATAAAACTTTATCAACATAATGCTCACTTGCTTCTATAGCATTAATAATAATATTAAAGGACTTTGGTTGATCTTTTCTTGAAATTCTATATCTTGAGTTTATTTGACTATTGACATCATCATCATCAGTTTTAGTGTTCTTATTTGTTTTGCTTTTGTTTTTATTAGGAATAAATTCAACGTTTGCGGAGACTTGCTTGGAAAATATAAATTTATGTTTATATTTTCTTATAGATAGGTAACCATTTTCCTGAAATATGTTAAAGACGCTGTAAAAGATCTTGAACAAAAAATCTGTATCTTTATTTTCTGATTTCAATTTGAAAATACTGATGAGTCTATTAACTTCTTGGCGCAATTTATTAAATTCCTCATCTTCTAAATCATCTGGACTAATCGTATATTCTTTTTCAACATCATAACTAGTTCAAGTATTTAATTTTTCTTCATTGAAATTGTTTTTTAACTTTTCTTCATAAGCCTTGAAAATTTGAATGATTGAACTATAATCCATCGTTTAAAATTATTGTTAACTTTATCGATTATATCATATATTTAAATACAAAAAAACAATACACAAAAATTGTTGTCAAAATTATTTTTTTTAAAATTTTAAATTTGAAAATAGATAATTACATAATAAAACTTTCTAATTTGATACATTTAATTAAAATTTTAATTATCAATTAATTAGATTAGATAACATTTAGTTCTTATGATTAGTCAGGTTTTCTTCACCAATGAGAATTATTACTAAATCTCATTACTAGAGCTTATAATTGTGTGAATCAATAGAAACAAAGCCAAAAAAAAAAATTTGATTTAAAAGTGAATAATGATAATTTTTATTGGAATATTTGGCAAGGATTAATTGAATATGCAAAAAAACTGGATA